CTTTACTAGTGATAAGTAAATTTATACATTGACAGAAGAATAAGTTTCTCAAACATTCTTTTTGAAGTCACTTTCAAGAATGGCTAAGTTTCTCAAATGTCATAAAGCTTAGATAATATTTCAATTGGACAAATCCCTTTCAAGAGAAAACTATGAAATAGAGCAAGAACCTTTTGAAGAGCTTTGAATTATATTTCCTCTTCCCTTTTTTCCAATGTCAACTTTAGCAATTTATCATTTTTTAGGATAATCAATAGTAACAAACTGTTGGTGATAATCCTGTTAACTTAGAGGCACTATTTTTAAGCTACTAGGAGAGCAAAATATTGTATCTTAAATCTGACTTAGAGTACTTAGTTTAGACTTAGTTTTGTTTAATTTGAACTAGCTTAATGGACTTTTCATATTCTTTAAGTAGTATAGTTCTTTAAATAATAATATACAATGATAAATTAGTTGTTTTGTAAAAATCTGTAAAATATTTAGGTATCTCTCAATAGCTCAATAAAGACATGCCATTGTGACATGATTGTGGATTAAAAAAAAAAAAAGAATTGTAAGGTATTAAAAAACCAATTTTATTGATTCAAGTGTTATCCTGCAATAAAGAAAAAAAACCTGTAGAAATGTTATGATGTTTATATTTCACTTCACTTCTATTCTGTTACTACTTTTTAAAGTTTGTTTATTGCTTATATTTATGATTTTTGATAAGAAAGCAATGTGCTGTTGCTCCTATTGATTGCTATTAAGGACTGGTGTATCTTTAAAAGTGGTTTACTTCCTTATTACTGAGTCTTGATCTTCTAATGACTATTTGTTCCTCTAGTATGTCTATTCTAGCATGTAGTCTTTTTAAATTAGCTAAAATACATATTAAAGAATCTTGTATGGTTTCTATTTTAAGTCTCATATTAACTTCAGAAGATCTATTTCTATAGTTTCATTGATTTTTGATTAGTTTTTTATCGTTTCCTGTTATAGGATATTCTTCTCTAATATTTCTTTCACATTTTATTCTATTATTGCTTAATTATCTAATCTGTCTTAAATTCCTGAACCTATAATAACTTGTTGAAATAGAAATAGACTTTGTTAATTTGTTATCTAATTGTAAATAAGATATTAATTTATTGTCTACTTTTATATTTCTGGCCCTGAATCTTGTATTTCTATTTTCACTTTTAGAATTCTGTCTTTCTATTTTGGATGTTTGATACTCCATAAGAGACAATATCCCAATAAGAAAATATATTATTTATATACCTTGTCTCTTTCTTCTTTTGTCTTAAAGCAAATACTGTAAAGTTATACTTCTTAAGTATATCAAAATCTTTGGATATATAACATATCTTAGCTTATATACCATTCAATGCTCTAGTTATTAGAATGGTTTAGCTTTTGTCAGTATCTAGGAGTCTTGCTAAGTTGTCATTTTTCTCAATTAATATTTAATTGATTTTATTGTCATTAAGTTTAAACTTAGAAAATATAGCACTTGATATTTTTGTACTAATTAGAGTCATCCAAATTGCTTCAGGGTTTAGGTTGAGATATTTATATCATTTGATATAGGTTTTCACTTGTGGTTTTGTATTCACCTTATAGATATGAATATTTTGAACTTTTCTATATTTTTTTAAATATGCTTTTATGAGATTCTTATTATTTTCCTAATTTATGTCTACTAAATATATATACCAGATAGTAGTGTCTTCTTTGGTTTTAAATTTTTGAAAAATTTTTCTATTTAGATTTTTTTCTGTCTTTTGTTTCTTGTGAGTAGTCCAAGGTATTATATTTTGAATAACAAAGTTATCTTTCTTTTAGTTAACTTCTTCTATATATCTTATAAAATCTTCTTCCTCTTGTATTCAAAAAACTAACTATTTATTTTCATTGATAAACTCATTATGTAATAGGTTTCTTTCTTTTTATGAAAGTTTAAAAGTGTTGTTTAGGTATGCCTTAGTTTTATCATCTTTTTTTTTGAAATATTGGTTGTCATTGTACCTAATTTATAAGTTCCTTTCTTTTTTATGAAATAAGGATTCATTGATAATACCATGTCTCTATTTTTAGTAGTATAGAAGCTATGTTCACTAATGCATTGTCTTTTTACTGTTTCTTGAAGTTTTTGTGATTCCAATTCTTTCATTTCCTGTGTACATATTATTATTACTTTATTGTTTATTGTTGATTTATTATCTATTTATTTGATAATCTCTATTAATTATTATTCTGATTTATGTTGACTTTCAGAATTCTTGATAATTTCTATGAACTTATCTTCAATATAGGGTTGTAGAAGATCTTCTTTAATTCCTTTGCTTTGTTATCAAAGATATGTAACGTGTTAAGTTAAAATTTGTTCCTTGTGAAAGGTTGTTATATCGACTCCTAATATCTTAGCTATAATACTATCTTGAATAGTATATATTTCTGGTGATGAGGTTACTAATTCACAAGGTATATTATTTTTTTGTTTTAGTAGTTGTTATGAGATTCATAGAGTAGAGTATTCATTATGTTTTATTAAGAAATTGATTAAAGTGTTTACTATATCCTCTTCTCTTTTACTAATTATCTATAATATATATTGTGCTCTATTTATATTTGTTACTGATTTAGATTTATTGATAAGTCATGTGATTGCTTATTTATATTTATTAGTAATCTATATTTAGGTTATGGGTAAACCTTTTTAAGGTTATTATTGTTTATGTTTTTGATTAGATAATATAGAAACACCTTGTTGTATTGTTTTGATATATTTATTTATTCATATTGAAGATTTTATCTGAATTTTGCAAGTTGTTATTATATTTGTATAAAATGTTAATTAACTTGTTTTAAATTATAAGTTATATATATATGTGTGTATTTTATTTATCACTTTTATATATATACTTGTTTTGCTTATCTATTTTTATATGTTCATATTTGTATAACAAGGTAAAGAATAAATATGTTATTTGTATATGTACAGTATGTATATTTAGACTGTTTTGTTCTTAGGGAACTCTGATGTCCTTTTGGATTTTTGAGTAATTAAAGTAATTTGATTTATCAGATAAACTTAGTTGTTTTTTGAGTTTTTTGCAATATTAAGAAAGGTGTTAATCTGCATGGTCTAACTATAAATTGTGTAAAGTTGATATTGGTACATTTTTTTTCACTGTAAATTAGTTTACAGATTTTCTTTCTTTTTCTTAAAAAATTTTTAAGAAAAAAAAAGTAAACAAAAATTAATAAAACAATATATATCTTTTTCCTTGGTATTTCTAAATAACTTGTTATATATGTATTAAAAAAACTTAGTAGCTTAGTTTGAAAGATATATTGTTTTTTCTTATATATTTGAACAGATTCACTTTTTTCAAAAAAATTTGCCAAAAAAAATTTTTTTTAAGAAAAAAAAAGAATCAGTAAAAAAAGTTTTTTTTTTGAAAGCAACCATATATTATATATTAATACTAGTTTTATTCATTATTTTTTTTAAAAAAATTTTTTATATATAATTTTTATAGTTTTATTATTGGTAAAAATTTTTTTCTTTATCAAATTTTTACTTTTGGAAAATTTTAATTGGTTATTATTGTAAATCATATAAAAATTAATAAAAAAATAAAGAGATTTAACAATAACAAAACTTTAAAATATATTAATAAAAAATTTTTTAAAAAAATATAAAAAATAGAATATGTATCAATACATAGTATATGTAAATTTCATAATTTTTGATTGCATAATTAATAATTTAAAAATTGTCAAAATTGAAATTTATAATAAAAACATAGTAATGGACTCAAACTTTTGGAAGCAACTGTATATGGTTTAAACTAATTTATTTTTTAAAAATTATTATAAAAATTTTTTTTAAAAAAATAAAAATTATCAGTAAGAATTACTATTAGTTTTCTGGTTTTTTATTAATTAATAATTAAGCTTTATAATTAAACTAGTAAAAAATTTAAATATAGAAATATTTTTAATTTAATTACTTATAAATACCTTATTAATCTCAATTATTTTAAAATTCTATCTTTAAAAATATAATAATTATTTGAGCATTTATTAACTTTTATTCTCAACTTTTAAAAATCAAAAACTATTTAGTATAAAAATATTCCAATTGATACTTATTTAAATAAAAGAGTCATTAAAATATTTTGAATATTATAGATAGCAATAAAGAGTTGAACCTATCTAAGATTCTATAAAAGTTTTATTTAATAATTCTGACGAGTATATGACCTTCCTGTGAAACCTGTCAAGATAGAAAAAAAAGGTATTGCTGAATTAAATAGGCGACGATCTAGATATAGTAATACATAATGTAGAGATTTTTTATGCATACTTGACAAAAGTCAATAAAGTATGGCAAGCATGCCCTTTAGTCGATAAAAAAAAAAAACACTGGCATACTATTTACTTTAATCTAAGTTAACGTAAAAAGACTTAAAATAATGCCTATTTTATATTCCTATAATAATCGAGACTCATAAAATAACAAGCGATTTCCTGGGAAGAAAATTATGCGTCATATTTGTGTCGATTTTACGTAATATTGAGCTAAGCCTACTAGTTAACCTTATTTGGATAGCACAGTTACTTAAACGATTAATTAACTTCAGTTAAGCGAACAATCAATTGTATTTGAACTAAGAATATTTATTGAGCCCAGTGGATTTTCGCCAACGATCTACACGATCAGTCTATTTGGAAGTCTGGAAAAAAGGCGCACTGACATCGTTAAAGGTTTTCATTGTCGTGATTAGCTTTACTATTCAGCAAACTTAGGTAACAAGTCCACAAAATACCAACAGTACTGAGAAAAGGTAATCGATGTTGTAGAGGCAAAAATCTAAAATTAATGATTTGCACCAATGGCCACAAAGTGTAATTTGCCTTCATTGCTGGTATGTAGGCCTAAAGGATTAAAAGTAAGATTATAACAATTAAAAGATTAAAAGAAAAAAATCTTTTGAATTGTATCTTCATACCTCTTCTAATTTTTGTTTAATCTTGCTGATTTCTTGTCTTTCCAAAACTCCAATAATCCCGAAGAATAAAAATACTCCGAAAGGAGCAAACATTGTCTGATCTACTACAACTCTTTTAAAAACTATTTTCATAGTTTGCAACGTATTTTGTCTTATTTTAATGCTTCCTGGGAAATTAGAATTCACAGTAGGTAAAGGGAATCTCTTATCTAGAAAACTATACCAAGTATGAATGATGGGTGCAATTATAAATCCATAAGATGTAAATCTTCCGAGCCGTGCAAAGTCAAACTTATTGCCGCCAGAAACATTAGGCGACACTTTATCGGGAATCAGGTTTTCATGATGTGGTGCTGGAAGAGTTTGGTCAATTTTTTCTATAACTTTATCCGTGAAGGTTTTAGGGGGAGGTTTCGAAAAATACCATCGCTTTTTATCAGAAGACGAGGATTTAAGTAAGATAATAGATTGAGCCAAAGTATCGGATGTTGAAGCAAGGATCCCATTCACACATGCTAAAGTAATCAGAGGATGATTATGATAGCTTCTGTTGTATGCTTGGATGAAATATTTTAACATTTCAGATAAAATGAATAAGTAGTTATCAGACCTTTCGAATAGAAAAATAGAAATCAATTTATGTCTATCAATGCGTATTAAGATTACGTCAATCATAAAGGTTACAGGCTCAAAAAATTTTATTGATTACGTACGTTATATTTTATTTACTTAGCTTTAAAAAAATTTTAATGAGTTCTTTCTAGACGAATCGACTGGCTATTAAATGGCATGTGCGTACTGAAGGATTTCATTACTTAAAATGTTATCTAAACCTTATAAACACTATATGAACAAATTGCATATAATGTTATTTATATTTTAGAAAAACATGCATAATTTTCTTATTTTTTCAATATGTAAACATTACATTAAATATATTAAATATTCTTAATTTTTTAAATTAATAATTTCCTGAAATTAATAGAACAATTACTGTAGTGGCAAAAAAATTATCAAAAAAAAATTTTTTTTTTAAATAATAATATGGCTTGGTTTATTGTATATATAAGATATTTACAATTTGTTGGCTTTTACATATTAACTCACCCATCATTTAAGTTTATTCTTCTCTAAATACAACTTAGAAAATATTATTTTGTTTCTTTTTTGACTTGAATTATTCCTTAATCAAAAAGATTGAAACCTATAGTTTAATATTATAAAATAATAATAATAATAATATTTGATTTTCTTGATTCATTTAAATGAATATATTATAAAGTTTTAAATATAAATAAATAGAGATATAAAAATTAAACTTACTTTATTAAATATCCGAAAATTATATAAAATTTTTAATAAATATTTAATTTATATAAATTAAATAATTTAAATAATTTTTTAATAATATTTAAAATCAAAATTGTAAAAATAATTTTATAAATAATATAAATTCTATAAAAAAATTTATAATTTATAATTAAAAAAAAAACTTTTTCTGTTAATTTTTTTTTAAAAAAATTTTTTTTTTTTTGATAAAATTTTTTTAAAAAAGAATCTTACTTAAAAATACTATACTGTTTTAAGTTAATAGTCAAATAACAAATCATAATATTTAATTATATCTTAAAAAACTAATTTTTTTTTTTTTTTTTTTTTTTTTTTAACCCTCTGTCAGGCTAGTTGCGTGCGCTTTATTAAACAAAAGTAAGCTATACATTTATACAAATATGTGTCGCTAAAGCTAAATCTACAACTAACTCACTCGTCTTTGTCATAAGTTGACTCTAAGTGCAACTTCGGGAGTGATTTGTCGCTCCATTTACAGTTCAGGTGAGTACCCTTCCAACTATAAATATCATTGCCTGCAGGTCACTACTGCAGTATATCTTAAAAAACTAATATATTGAATAAAAAAGTTTAAAAAGTACATATTATTTTTTAAGCTTTATTTTTATAAAAAGAAAAAAATATACCAATAAATTTATTTACAGTAAACTTAGATAAATTAAATATCAACTTTTCAAGTTTTTAATTAATTTAATATCAATTTATATTTTTTTAAATATTTAAAAAAACCTTTAAATCAATGGTTTTTACTAATAAGTAAATAAAAACTCAAAGTTTATAGTTTTAAAGAATATCAAAAAGTCCAAAAAATTAAATTTTAATTGATAAATACTATAAACTAAATATTAAACCAGTTATATGAAAATATAAAAAAAATAAAAATAAATCAATTGCTTCTAAAAATAGTATTAATTTAATTAAAATATATTAAAAAAGAATTTGATTTTTCAAAAATAATTAAACTTATTTTAAAAAACAAGTATTATTATAAAAATATTATTAAATATTATTATTACTTTTTTTAATAATACTTATAATATATTACAACTTAATAACTTTATTAACTCAATTAAAATTAACATTATTTAAAAGTTTAAAAAAAATAAATGTTATATATCAATTATACTTTTTTTTTTTTTTTTTTTTTTTTTTTTTTTAATTCATAATCATACAATTTTGATATGTCTTTATTGAGATACTGAGAGATATCAAAATATTTTACAGTCTTTTTACAAAATAACCAAATTATTTTTTTTTTTTTAATCCTCTGTTAGGTTAGATACATGTGCTTTATTAAAATGTGTATACTTTACATTGGAGAATATATCACTAAAGCTAAGATTCTATCTAACTTACTTGTCTCTATTTTAAAGAATTATTAAAACTCTAAGTGCAACTTCGGGAGTGATTTATCGTTCCATTAATAGTTCAGATAAAGACCCTTCCAACTGTTAATTTCATTGCCTGCAGGTCACTACTGCAGATTACTCTATGATATTCTGACAAAGTTTAAAATCCCAACCATTTCATTTCATACTTCACTCTTCTTGTTAAAATTTCCTGGAGGTCTTTATCTTTGAGGTTTCCTCCTTCAGGTAATGGTTCTTTTTTCTTAATGAGTATAGTTTTTGGGCTTAAAAGACGTGGAAGTCTTTTTGTCTTGTTCTCTCTATCAATTTCTTGTGTTTTTTCCCACGCAATTACCTTTTCACATTTCTTGTTCCTGATTTCTTTTTGGACATGATTGCAACCTCTTCTTTGCATTTTTATTATCCATTTTTTTGCTATTCTTCCTAGCAATTACCTTGACATTTTAGATCTACCATTTCTAGGATAATATCTGTTCTTATAATGCCAGTACAGAAGCTTAGCGTGTCCTGGCTAGTTTTAGAAATCTGTTCTACTACTTTAGAGATCCATTTGTCAAACTCTCATATTTCTTCTCGGTCGTTGATAATTAACCTGGGATTTTTCTCCTTAGCCTCTCTTTTTCTTTCCTTTAGCAGCTCTTTAAAGTTTCTGATGATACTATTTACTTTTTTATTCCATACTTCTTTTAGTTGGTTCTTATAGATTGAATATTCTAACAAGTGTTCTATGGTTTCGTCTTATTGGCTATATGCAATACATTTCACTTACTTATATAGGTCTGGTCTTTTTATAGTCAACTTACTTAGTGTAAGTAGCTTGTCATTGGTCAGTTTGATTAAAAAGCTTCTTTGTTAGGATTGTTTAAAAGATATATTCCACGTGTGCCCGTCTTTAATTCTTTCCTATACTAGGTTCCATATATGAGCCTGGTGTTCTGAAATCTGTTAACTCCATTTTTTCTCAGTTCTATTTTGTTGTGTCCACTGATAAGCTATTGTCTTGTTATTAATATTCTTAATAAACTGCTTAATTGAATCAACTAAAGTCATTTCTTGCCACTTGATTTCAGTAATAATTTTGCGTGAGGTAAGATCTTTTCATTCAATCAGTGGAAATTTTAGAGCTTCTTTAGCTAAGGTATCTGCTTCTTCATTATAAGAATCATTTGAATATATTTTGACTTTTGTGAGCTTTAGATCTATATTTTTCTTCTTTATTAACTCTACCATGCATGTCCAGAGTAATCAATTTTTTCTTTGAGCCATCTCTTTGTATGTCCTTCTTGAGTCTTCTTTTTCTAAAGATTTCTACTTAGAGATACATGCCTGACTGTCTGTAAAGATTTCCACCATGCTTTCTATTGGAACTATCAGAAGAATTGTTATGATTGCTACCAATTCTGCTTGTGTAGATGAGGGCCACTTGTCTACTCCTATTTGAAACTTGCTTTCTATTCCATCTTTGCCAATCTGAATCCAAGCTGCACCCATCTTCATTTCTTCTTTACTATGATTAATAAGTGATCCATCAGAATAGAAGATTGGTTTTTCTTTGGATTTGAGATTACATTAAAGTATAGCTATCAGATGATCTTGATATGTGCCTTCATTAATATTTTCTCTGATAATAGATTCTTCCCAGGTTTCAATGTTCATGTGATTTATTCTGTCATTTTGAATCTTGAATGGGCTTTGGT